CCTGGCAAAGTGCTTTCACACCTGTTAGTTTATTCCTTAAATCATGGTTCTCAAAGTTTGGTCTGGAGTCTCCTGGAAGTCCTTGATAACTTTTGTCTTTGGATCCCTTGTAGCATCTAGCACAGGGCGAAGACAAATTTATTTTCATAATAACACTAAAATATTACCTTCTGTTTCCCTCTTTCTCTTACAAGTACCTAGTAGAATTTTCTAAAGGCTATATGGCATAATCACGTGACAGCCAAAGGTATATGTCTTTTGTATTCTGTGTTAAACCTTTCTTGTTTGAGTTTCTAATATGATAAATGTCTATAGATATCATCCAAATTACCAAAATCTCTAATAAATTTCAATAGATAAAATCCACATAAGTATAAATTTTAAGGCTGTAAAATATGAGAATTGCTATGCTTTTGTGACCTCATTCAGTCTCGTGGTGTAAATACCATCCAAAAATCGTCTGATCACTCACAAACACATAATTCTAGCTTGGATCTCTCACCTAAATTCCAGACTCAAACCTTCTGCTTAGATACGTCTATACTTGGATGTCTAAGAGGAATGTCAAACCTAACATCTGAAAATCTCCTGGCCTCCTCCACCTGCTTCTCTCAGTTTTCCTGAGAAAACGGTCATTCCGCTTTTTTTTGACTGTCCTTTCCACCTGGAGCCTGGCTACATGTCACTTTCTCCATCAATACCACCCAGATCCAGCTCATCTTCATTTCTATCCTGAATCCTTGCATTAACCAGGCTTCATTCTTCTGTCCTTGCCTCCTTTCAGGCCCTACTCAACACAGTAGCCAGAAATAGTCCTCTTAAAGCATGAATCAGATTTCACACCTATACTCCAAACACCTCAACTGTCTTTATGTGCAGCTCAGGGTCTAATGGCCTTCAAGGGGGGACACAATCTGTCTTCCTTGCCCCATGAACTTCTGTCCTCAACTCCTACAACTCTCCTCCTTGACCCCTCACTTCCAATCACACTGGCCTCCTTACTGTTTCTTCAACACACACATCCTGCCACCCCAGGACCTCTGTCTTACTATTCACTCCACCTACAATTATTGTTCCCCCCACATAGCCACGTGTCTTGTTCCCTTATTTCCTGCACGTTTCAGCTCAAATATCACATTACCAGTGAACCTATCCTTGACCATACAGTATAAAATGGCCACAGCACAGCACTCACTAGTGCTTGCATCTTGTCTTATTTTTTCCATAGCATAGAGCACCATCTGATCAACAATACATTACTTATCTTTTGTATTGTTTATTTTCCCAGAAGGTGGCATCTCTGTCTTTTTGGTTCATTGCCAAATACCCAGAACTTAGCAGAATGTCTAGAACATAGAAGGCTGTATTGTTTGATGAATGAATGATGGATATTATATGCCTACCAATATTCTATAAGGTAAGTAAGGCCAGTTATATTTTCAAGTTTGTATTTGGGGAAAGTAAAGGATGAAACCTTTTGAGATTGGTCCTTAACTACCGGAGGACTCCACCTTTTCCCTGACCGTAGCTGATGAAAGTCCATTCAAAACACCACTTTAAAGCATGGGGTCAAAATAAACTGAGAAGGGCAGCAAGTCACCAAAATACTAGTTAGGTGAGGTTCACAGTCAAAAGGGGACATATTACTACTCCACTTGTACCATTTCTGCTGCGATCATAAATAAACAAGGCATTTTCCCGCTTTTTGTAGAAATCACCACCACTTTGGTCCTGAGTACTGTGCCACCCTCAAATACAATGTAGACGTTAAACAAAAGGGGAAGAGAAGGCAGGAGCGGGTTTAATCAGCCTTATCTGAGGACTGTTAATCCTGCCCTAAGAAGAAGCCAGGCACGTCTGCAGCAGGCAAAGGGCATAACTGGGCTCTCGCACAGCTGGCCCTGTTGGCTGTTCCTTACCTGGGTTTTCTCCTATCACTTGGTTTGATGATTCTGTTTCCTAGTTCTCCTTTCCCTGATAGCATTTTTTTTCTTGACTACTTACTTCAACAGTATTTTTTTTAAAATTTCTTCCTCTTTCCTTCATAATCCTACAACCTTCACTACACCTTTATTCCAGTCTTTATTTACTGACCAATCAGTCTGCAAGCACTATATGTAGTCCAACATTTCCCCTTCCTGGAAACAATTTTGGACGCAATTTCTTCACAGTAAAATTGACTTCATTTATTCACTCATTCATTTTTCTCACGTCAGGCTCTGTTCTAGGCACCGAGGGGAAGAGAGAGAACAAAATAGATAAATATTCTCTCATGAAGTTTAATTCTAGTAAGGGAAATAAACAATACAAGAGATAAATAAATAAAGCAGAGATGATATTGGACAGTGGTAAGTACTAAGGACAAAAATAATGCAGAGAAGGGAGATACTTTTAGGGAGGCCTTGTAATTTTAGATACGGTGGCAGAGAAGGCTTCAGTGAGAAGGTGACATTTCGCATAGAGACCAGAGGAAGTGAAGGAGTGAAGCACAGTTACCTGGGGAAAACGCTTCACGGGTAGACTGAATAACAAAGTTCAAGTACCCTACCTGGAAATGTACCTGGACTATTCAAGGAACAGAAAAGAAGACAATGTGGCTGAGTTCAAATGAGCAAAAAAACAGTAGAGGATGAGGTGAAGGAAGTGGGGCCAGGACTTGGAGACTTGAGATTAGGATTTAGGTTCATACTTTCCGGGAGATGAGAAGTCACTGGAGGGATGGCACATCCTACATTACGTTTTAGTAAGTGCGCTGCACAGAATAGACTATGATGGGGCGGGGAGATCAGGGACGGAGGATGGATGGAGTCAGGGAGATGAAGAGACTACCGCAAAAGTCTAAGTGACTGACATCCTGGCTACAGTGAAGGAGGCCAAGAGTCGTCAGATTCTGGGTTTACTTAGAAGTCAGAATCAACAGGATTTGCTGATGTATTGTTTGTAAGTATGAGAGGGAGAAAGGAGTCAAAGATGACTCCAAAATTAAAAAAAAAAAAAGTTTTGTATATCTAATGTGATATTTCACCTAACATGCTAGCTTTATAAAAGGACAACATTAGTATTACTTTTGTGAATTTTTCTTTCTAGTGATTTTAACACTTTGTGTTCTATTTCTATGTATGTACATATCACATAGAAGTTTGAACCAGTATAATATGGTGAACGGCTCTCTGCATAATCTTCCCTTGATGAAAAATATATAGTAATAATAGGATTTTTGGAAACAAAGTAAGTAAATGTATGTGAGAGGTAAGATTTTGGATTTTCATTTATATTTTATTTCCATGGGGGAGGTTATGTAAGATTCAAGATTAAAATGTAGTATTTTATATCAGAGGTATTGTTATGAACAGAATTATGTTCCTGGGAATTCATATGTTGAAGCCCTAATGCCCCATGTGACTGTACTTGGAGAAGAGACCTTTATGGAGGTGATTAAGGTTAAATGAGGTCGTAAGAGTGGGACCCCTAATGCTCTCAGGCTGGTGTCCTTACGAGAAGAGGAGAAGACACCAGAGTCCACTTGCTGCCTCTCTATACAAGTGTGCCAAGGAACGGCCTTGTGAGGACACAGCAAGAAATCTGCAAGCCAGGAAGAGGGCCTTCACCAGGAACTAAGTCATCTGGCACAGTGATCTTGGACTTTGGAGCCTTTCAGGACTGGGAGAAAATAAATTTCTGTCGCTTAAGTCACTCAGTCTATGGTATTTTATTGTGACAGCCCAAGCTGACTGATACAGGTATTAATCTCAATCTGCTCCGTATGCAGGAAAGATAACACACATCACTCACGCACATGACTGGGGTGCTAAAAATGGTTCCATTTCTTTCTCCCCTATTTGGGCAAACAAGTGACAGGGATCTTGTTTTAGAGATAATCTCAATTTCAGTTACTTTGTCTTTTCACGTTTCAGCCATTGACTAACTTGAGGACTTAAATCACTATTAGGAGTAGATTATATTAATATACTCCATAGAGATTTTAATTTAGCGGATCTGCCAAAGGGTCCCCACATCTGAATTTCTAACAAATGCCCCTGATGATTTTGATCACACTTTGAGAAACACTGAGATAAGCTTATTTCCACATTAAGTCTTCTAAGCAGCATGCACAGTGGATCTTTGTGTGTCCTTCACTCAATCATGACTACTCCTAGGGACTGCCAACAGAGTTTATAGTAACTTTATAAAAAGCTTCATAAAAGGTCAAGGTTTACCAAGAATCCAGAGAGAACAGAGCTAAAACCAACGTTTCGCGGTGTGTGTACCATCTTAGACCACTTACGACTTCTGCATGGTACGTGCTGACACCGCCACCTCCTATTTCTAGAACAGCTCAGTTACTCCTTTTTTAAGTTCCCATTACTAAGTCAGAAACACTGTGTAGGACTTTAGTGGGGCCTATTCTTGGCTCTCAAGTCCTCCATTTATGAAAAGAGCATGATTCAATTTGTGCCAACTCATAATAGCAACCTTGTAAAGGAGTCAAAGGGTGAGGCAGCTTTGACAAAAACAGAGAGGTGGCTAGTAATAGAAGTGGAGCAGGGAAAGCAGGTCTACTATGAAATTAGACGCGTCTCTGCTCCTGGTCTCCTGGCACATTGCCTTGGGTCCAGGCACAATTATCTGCCTATTTCTGCCTTTAGTCCACCCTGTCCCATCCCCCACACCCTCCCCACCTTCTTAGTCTACAAATCCTGCCTCCTTAATCTTGATATGTATAAGTATTCATGTGGTGGTGACTAATAGAAGTCATAGAGAACTCCAAAGTCAACAAGGGCTGAATGACGGTACCTAGCCACAAAACAGGAATCTTAAGTACACAAACCCTACGACCATCTGCTGTGGAAGTTCACCACGGCCCTGGCACTTGCAAGCAGCCTGATTCAAACATTGGGCTTCACCGGCATATGTTCATGACCTGGGATAATCCGAGGGAGAGCAGGGAACAGAGAAGAAGAAGGCTTGGGGCATTAGTAAGACCCTAGCCTATGCTGGGCAAGAACACTATTTTTTTGAGAGGCAGTTCAGAATTCTATTTTTTGTAAAGTTAATGATTGGTTAAGTGTTAGATAAGCACTGTCTCCCATGTAGGTGTTTCCTTGGTACCCAAAAGTAAACAGGCTCCCAGATAAGGGACACCAAGCCAGAAAATAGGTCACAATAAACGTTGTCATTTAGAAAAAAAAAAAAAAGCTCATTTATGGAAAGGTAGGAATTCTAGCGCATAATCAAATTTATTTTCCTGAAAATAAAAAAAAAAAAACAATTAGCAGTTTGTAAGTCTGTCGCCTGTGCCTCAATAAAATAGGCAATTGCACTCTCAAGAAAGGACCTGGGCTAATATTTATATCAAGTTTCTCTCTTTCAGAGAAAACGAAACAGAAAGGAAGTGAAATCCTGAATATTGATGATATGCATCGGGGCTTTTATCCTGGGCTTCAAGGAAACTGCTTCACCTGCAGCTGGCATCGCCCCTCCTCCAGTGTGGCCCCTCCTCCAGTGTGGCCCCTCCGCTTTGTACTACTTCCTGCTTCTCTCTCAGCAATACCATAAGGCACCAAGTTATTAAAATCTGCCCTCCTTCACATAAAAGTGAAATCCAAATTCAAACTGCATCTCTTTCCAAAGAGAATTGTGAGATCAGAGAAGTGGTTACTTTTGGCAGCAGGCCCCCCAGAATCTTCTCTGCATCTCACGTAGGGTTAATTATGGCGGAATGCAACCGTGGTCAGTACTTTTGCTGTTCTGAGAAGAGGCTGTGTCAACACGGGAGCCAGCTGCGAAGACGAAGGTGCTGTGAATGGTGCATGGCTCTGCATAGTTCCATGCAAACAGGCCGTCTGGTTCAGAGGATGAGACACACTTACGGTACACCGATTCCAAAGCCGATTTCTCATTTAGCTTTTGAATAATGAGATTTCATACCCCATAGAGGTGTTGATGATTCAAGCATCTGGCAAAGCTGATCATTTCTAATTTAACTTGTTCAGTGAGCTGACTGAGACCCTACCTTTTGTCCCTGCACATCTGTCGTGATGTGGTCGGCTTCCCCATCCTCAATCTCCCCCATCTTCACGACACTGACTTCTATGGTGCCAACAACTTTGCCACCATCTGAAGTTCTGCAACCAAAAATAAATGAAATGGAGAGGTGAGAATCTTCTCTTTCCTGAAAGTATGTCCAAACACGTTTTTCTCTGAAAACCACTAACGTTGCTTTTTTTTCACCTGCATTGGTTGTAATTAAACAAATCTGCAAAAAACATACTGAAACATGTTAATAGTGTTGGCATTGTTTTTAATTTCCAAAGAAAACTCATCATGAATTTGTGCAGTAAATGCATGGACTGTCAAATACTATCTCATGCAGGTAAAACCTCCTCAGTGCTCTCAGGAGTAGCTGCCAGGACCGTGGTTCCAGGCCCGATTTGGCAACTCCACGTCTCTACGACAGCACAAACCCTGGCTCCTCTATACCAATTGCACAGGATACTGTGCACAACTACTACAGAAACCACAGCTGAATAAGACAGAAAAGAGCATAAACATCTCTGTATTCCTCTATGACCCAGCCATTGGCTATAAAATCTGCTTTTATGCCTTTTGCATAACATCATTTTTCTTTCTCAGAGACCAAGTAAAGAAGATTTCTCTCCCAGCAACATAAAAAAAAAAAAATGAAGGTAGCTGCAGAGCAGAAATTAGCCACAGAGATCATCTAGCATAACCCATTACTCTTTCAGATAAAGAAACTGAGACTCAAGGAGGTAGAAAGCCTCATGCATGGAAGCAAATTGGCGAAACCAGAAACCCAGGTTTGTATCTTCTTTGAGTCTGTTGGCTACTGAACAGCTCATCCCTACTTAATGATAATGATAATTTTATTATTAAGATTTTCATCATCATTACTGTCATCAACATACAAATGTTATGGTTGACAATAATTAAAATTAAAAATAAAATTAACAACCACCCATCCTTTAAGATTCTCAAATTTTCTTTTCTGGGCAAGAAAATATACAGAATAAGTGGTGGCATCATATCATGGGAACACTGTGATACATAAGGATGTTTTTCCCTTGAAACGTATTTTGAAGATGGGTGGCAGACCTCCCCTCAGCATGAGGTGTTACCAAAGCTTCCACCCAAGCCTAACTGACTAATATCAGTTCGGTGACACTTCATCTTCTTTATTTAGTCATCTTTTAAATTTGTTTTTAACTTTAATATGAACACAAATAGTGTCTTTCTTTCAACCAATTCCTTCAGAATGTCACTATTTTTATTAGAGGTGTCAGAAAAGAGGAATAGGAAAATTAGTATAAGTAGTTTACCAAAATGCTAATTAAAATAATGAATAAGTTAGGCGAAAAGGAAATCCAGTTGTTACCAGATCACAGGAAGTTTTCCTCAAAACATAAAACGTATAAATTGAAACGTATCTTTTGAATTATGCTTTTAAGAAAACCGAAATAGAAAAATTCTGATAACATACACGTAGCTAATGTCATAATGTAATAAAATAAAGATTATGTACATAGAAAACTAAAAGTGATTTAACTAGTTTATTAATATTAATAAAATATAAAGCTTCTTGGTGATTTTTATAATACTGACTCAATTATTTGAAATTAATATAGAAAACTTAAGCATTCATTACAAAGAATATGTCTATACAGATAATAATATAATCTATGATTTTGTAAAAAAAAAAACAACTATATTAGCTCCAATTCTCGAATGGTTTTAATAATTAATTATACCATTTTCCCACTTGAAAATGACATAATAACTTGTCATAAATCACAGTGTGACATATCTGTGTACAATTCTTCAATACTCGACAGTTAAATAAAGAGTTTAGTAAAAGCCCTCACTGTCACCACTCGTAGTTTTTTCTAGAAATCTGCAGATTTCTTTTTCCCCCAAATTGATCATCAATAACAATTAAAGACATCTTTTTTTTTTCCTCATAGGAATTGTTTAAACTTCTGGCTTGTGCAAACTGAGCTAGCTTAATTTCTCGGTATACAAGCTTAATTTCTAGGTACAAATTCCTAAATATTTTCATCGAACTAAACCAAAAAAAGTCATGATTTGAAACAGAGAATAAGCTTCTCACAGCCAAGACTGGTTAATAAGCCAATATATGCAATAATAATTAAAAGTGTGAACTCAGGAGTTTGAGCTATCTGCTAGCTTCATGACCTTGGATAAGAAATTTAACCATGTGAAACTTTGTAAGACACAGATGATAATTTCATTGTAAGGATTAAATTGTGACATGATTTATGTAAAGTTCTCAGCACAACGTTTTGCATAAGACAAGTGCTTCTTCCTTCTCCTCCTTCTCTTCATCCTCGTAGTAGTAGGAGCAGTATCAACCAAATTGCTATTGTCATGAATATAATGTATTTAATTTGATTCTCTTCAGAAATTTTACTAAAATGGACATCTAAGACTATTGTAAAAGATTACAGGATTTCATAGCACATGCATTTCAAGAGCAAGTATGTGCTCATTAGAGATACAAAGACTTAGTGATGACAGATGATGGTATAAAGCTTACATTCTAGTAGTGCAAAGAACACAAGTCTATAGCTGATGACAATGCAAGTGAACCTTTTAAAGTGCCAGTCAGATGAGTAAGGAATGCACCATGGGAATAAAGGAGTAAGCTTCAGAACTATAGCTTTATTTATTCCCTTTAAAAATTACCTGGCTACTTTTAAAATACAGGCATATCTTGCTTTATTGTGTTTTGCTTTGTTGAGCTTCACAGATAATTGTGGTTTTTTTTTCCAAATTGATGGCTTGTGGCAACCCTGATTCAAGCAAGTCTATCTGTGCCATTTTTCAACAGCATTTGCTCACTTCGTGTCTCTGTGTCACATGAGATTAAGGGACACTAAAGGGATTCTAAAACCTCCCCCACCAAAACCATTTTGCGTAAGAAGCTGTGAGTACCCTGAAGCGTGCGTCTTCATCTGAGATTTGTGGGAGATGGAATGGGGAACGCAGGTAATAAACTGAAGAATTGATCCCAAGACACCCAAAAGCATTGTTCATCCTGTCCGTGAACTGGAACATGAGACATAGAAGCAGTTTCCAATGTATTCTATACAATTTACTACACACAAAGTATGGATATTCAACACCTCTCTTCAATCAGGAGAGTCACAACTGAAATATCTATTTCATGTTTGTAAAGGCTGTTTCAAAGGTGGTTTCATAAAAATTTAGCAAAAAAATTCATTCTTAAAGCATGAATTATGTTTTCAATTTATCACCCATCAGGTTCAGGAGGCTACTAATCATTACTTCACCCTTATTAATCAGCAAAATCCTACTGACTTTTGTTTAATGGAAATTCTTCAGATCTGCATGGCAGACATACTGAAGAGAATTCCAGGCTAGGAATCAAGAAACCAAAGCACAATGTCCAGCTCAGCTGCTCACTAGCTATGTGACCAACGACGTACTGCTTCAGGTCTCTGGATTTCAGTTTCCTGTACTGCAAAACAAAGAGGTGATCTCTGATAGCTATGATATCAGTGCTCAAACTTCCTGCTCTGACGAGGCTAGAATTCAATCACTTGGTTCCATCATAGGCATCCTAGACTATCGTGGGCGGACACAGCTTTGGGAAAAGTCACAGGCAGATTGTCCTCGTCACTCCCCACCTTCCCGTCCAACCCTTCCCCCAAACAAACCAAACAAACCAAATGCGTGCCAAACCTGAAAAGTCACTTAACACTTACAGTCAAATACAAAGGCTAGTTTTTCTTATAGTATCCAACGTGTATATATATATACATATATTATTACCATTATGGCACTTGGTATTTTCACAAGGATACAAATTTGATGGAACCAAACAAAAGTGATCTTCATACAATTTCCTAGCAATTTATATGGCACAAGGAACAGGCTGCAGCTATAAATAACTATCTCAATCTATATGAAGAAGAGAGAGTGAAAAAGAAAACCATGTCATCTCAGTCTCTTGTCAGGTCATTACCCACTGCTTAATTCACAGAATTATTATAAGAGAAGTAAAAGATGAATAATTCTTGGCAGCTATGTTATTTCAACACAACATCAAGTTCCTATTTCTCTCAGCAGATACACTTAAATATTTAACCATGCCAACAAGATGGAAGACAGAGGAGGGGAAATTTCAGCAACACAAATCAACACTTCCTTATCAATTAGGTTTTCAGTATGCATAATACATTAGTGATTGGGATTTTTCAAAATCCTCCTTTAACATAACTCTCATAATGCTTCCTAGTGAAATATTCAATTTCACATGCTGAAATATTTAAATATTTTTGGAAGACTGAGGGAAAGGGGATATGAAACAGTCTTCAATTCAATGACGCTTTTCCTCTAAACTCTTCACCACCTATTGTACCACCCTTAGAAGACAAAAAGAAAAAAATTATCCTACGGAAATGTTAAACAGAAACATGTAAATAACTCCCCTATTTTGGAAATGCCACAGAGATACACATGACTCTGTAAACATCCAAGGAAAAAAGCGTCATTAGCACTGTCAGTCTTTGCAAATATAAAGCAGCCTTGGTGCTATGCACAGGAACCGTCATCCGTGAGACGTGCCTTGCATTTAATCCGTCTAGACATGTAGCTGGGAAATGAAAATCTCACCTGGACAGAAAAATAAACGAAGGCCATAGGTAAGCAAATGGAGTCAGTGAGCGAGTGTGCCCTGACTATCTTTCTGGTGAAAACTCTTATCTAGCAGTGCTAGATTTACTTGGGTCTCACAGAAGTGAGAGTTCTATGTAAGCAGATATGACTAAATGTGCCTCCACTCTGGCTGAAATTCACAAATACCAGAAGTCACAGAATACATTCAAACTAATCCTCAAATAAAACCTTTCGGTAGCTCTTAAAATTGCAGCTTACACACTCAAGGTTTTGCCTTTGATGTTTTCCTCCTTTCTTGTTACAAGCTTGCCTTTAGAAATTCCTTCCACTATTGTGGGATTCAGTTACCCTGTCTATGAGGATCCACCACAATTCCATACTCCCTGCTCTGACCTGACTTCCTGACCAAGAACTGCAAATTCCTTTTGTCCTGGTATCATTTTACATT